AATTGTGGCTTATTCCCAGTTTAATAGTAATTAATTTGCAATGCCACAAGAAAATAGCTTCAGAACAATGTTTTCTGTTGATGTCAACTTTCTTATAGAATGCTCTGAATGTTTTCTCTCTGTTGAGGTTTTCTATATATTTAAGTGGTTTCGTTTTTTTTTCTTTTGTGTAGCCTCTTTACTTCTCTTCCCCTTGTCAAGTAATTCTCTACAGTTGTTGTTCTAGTTCGTCGGGTAAGCATCTGTCTGTAGGTTTAATTTTTTTCTTTTGTTGCATTCTTGCATTCATCGTCAAACCAATGATTTTTACGGGCAAAAATTTCTGGTCGTATTTCATTATTCGCTGCTGCTTCAATGTCTGCCTTTATTTTGGTCCAGTAGGACCATAGGATATGTCTGGCCTACTTCATTTACATTTTGATTCCTTAGCCTGTTGGTGATGTTTTCCGAGTACCGTTCTGCAATTCACATGCAAATCTGCGTCACATGTCTCAGCTTTTGCACATTCCATTTTTTTCTATCCATTTTTGCTGGATACTGCCAATGACCATTACTAATAAATTCGGGTACATGATATTCATGCCATTATTGGGTAGTATCGGTCTTATGCGCAGGTACAGAGTCTCTAAGAGTAAGGCGTTGTCTTGTTTGTCATTTGAAAGCCTCAAGTCTTGTCTTTTGTTTGACATTTCGACTTATGGTTCTCGGTGCATATGCATTTTCCGAGCCATGATTTTTTGTTTTCGGTCAGAACTTTGGTTAAATCTTGACCTAACCGCGGTAATAACCTGTGGCGTATGATCCACGTGATGCCAGCAGGATCTGTTACTTGTCTGTATCTAAAAACAGCTTAAAATATGATACATGAAAATACGTGTAATATTTAACGACTTTAATAATTCAAAAATAGGAGCTATTTCTATTCCGCGTAAAGAACAATGACAGCGATAATACGGTTCTCTTTACCCATTCCATTATAACTGGTCAAAGTAGACTGTATATGTAGAGTTTATAGGGTATGTATATATCAACAGTCAAAAATGTCAACATAACTTCTATAAGCTGCGTTTATAGCTGCTTCTATAAGCTTCTTATAGCTGCGTTTACTTTGTCAGCCGTATAAGCCGCGTTTACATTTGCATCATTATAATATTTACGGCAGGACTATGTATATATATGATCGCATTTTATCTTAAACACAAAAACCACGCTTTTTGGGGAACCGTTATGTACTAAGTGTATTATTACCTCATAAATCATCCCCTAAGCCTAAACCCCAATATGACTAAATTTGGCCATTTTTCTTAACAGATTTATAAATAAATGTCACTTTGGCCAAATTTATTTATGAGATTTTAAAACGATGTCTGAGATGTACAAGAAAAAAGTTTTATACTTGAATGATCAAGTACGTGAAGGGCCTTTTTCTAATATTTGACATAGACATTATAGACCTGTCTGGTCTAAAAGTACTTTCGTATTCACTAAAAGCCCGTCCGTGTAGTTCTTCTACGTATGACGACTGTATAAGATCTTGGAGAATATCGTTTACACTGTAAATATTATTTTTGTAATGCATAGGCTTTCAAAAAGAGATCCAGACAAGAATCTGAAATGCATATGATTATAGAAGACATAATCAGAATTGAGACAACTAATCAATAAGGATGTGTCCAATGACTGGGCTTAAGTCTAATAACCTGTCACGTTATTGAATGAAAATCAAAAATTAAAGTGGGAGAGGGACACATAAGATGTTTATCACAACAGATGATAAACGGACGATACCGGAATTTATATATACTAACAGTTTTGTTTAAAACATAAGAAATAGAAAAAGTGACTTCATTTGTTGCCTTAAAAAGAATCGCTTACTCAGTTGCATACTTGTCATTTTTGTTTATTTGTAACTGATATGTTTTTAAAACAATGGAAAATATGTCATCGCAAAGAATATTCAATTAATAATTTAATTATATTATTAAAGCATATAAAAAGAATATTTAGTTTTTTTTAGTTGTTCGACGATGTCGTAATATTCCACCTTTTGACTGTTCAGATAATTTATCTTATTTATTTTTATTGCTGACTGGTCATTTCTATTAATAATTTTTTTTATAATTCAATATTACCTGTTGAACACTTTTATATTCCAAACCATTTCCATACCAGTTATACTTTGGTCAATAAACAATGTTTATTTTTAAATTTTCAGAACAGGGATTCCTCGACAAATACGAGGGCTAACGACAAACAGTTTATTTTTCAATATTCTTCTCTTTACTCAACATATTAATTCTATGGATATTGATATTGGAATTTATTCATAATCAATATCTTCAGTGTAAGGTGATGAATCTAAGTCCTGCAAAATACTATTTTCGGTAGCAATTATCTCGGAATTAGAAGAAAACTTCTTACCTAGAGTCGTTTTGATTTAGTGGAAAGGAAATAATGAATGGTCGATTAAGAAGACATATTTAGAAAACATTATGAAATATATACATTTTATTCCCAAAAATACGAGTATAATGTAACGCTAGACTGTACGTAATACAATATTATTTGATATGGAATAGGTGGTTAGATTTCATTTATTCAATATTTCATTTTAAACATGTTCGTTCATGTATATAGTATAATGCAAATACATTGTGGGGACCATCTGATACTCTATTTTGTATTTCAAGGAAACGTGATACATTTGTTTCTCTCCGAAAAATGACTGTTTTCCTCTAAATATTGTAGACATCCACAAGTAAAGATCTAACAACCACACGAAGATTGCTCACCATCACCTCTTGCGTCTGTTACTTATATGTATCTTGAAATATTCTCGTATCAGTACAAGTTCAAAACGAATCACTACTTGCCATAAATCCCTTGTAATCTGTTATAATTTTTGGATAATTGTTTTCTGCAATCTCTATATCAGATTGTCATCTGATACTCCATTTTGTATTTTAAGGAAACGTAATATATTTGTTTTTTTCCAAAAAAATGACTGTTTTCTGCTTTCCTCTAAATATTCCAGACATTGACAAGTAAAGATCTAACAACTACACGAAGATTGCTCACCATGACCTCTTTAGTCTGTTACTTATATGTATCTTAAAATAATCTCGTATCAGTACAAGTTCAAAATGAATTACTACTTGCCATAAATCCCTTGTAATCTGTTATAATTTTTGAATAACTGATTTGAATAATTGTTTTTTCTCCTTGTGAAAAAATTTTTACACTGCTACGTGCATTTATTTCATGGCCTACACACGCTGCGTAAACTACATTGTTCAGTCCATTTAAGGATAATGATTGCATATTGTTACATTCTTCAAAAAGCTTTTTGCAGGTGGCAATTTTTTAAAATCGTGTAACACGTTGCTTTAGAAATCATCTTGGAGATGGAACTAAATTTCCCTCTATTGCAGCGACCTTAATGTTTACTGGTCGCTCTTGTTAAACTATACTTCTCATTTTACTGTTTCTTGTCATGTTCCTCTGTACTTTCTTGGTTTCCTTTGTCCTCTTCAACAGAAACTTGATTTGTGAAAATCTTTAATATTAGGATTCTACAAAAGTATATTTAACATCATCGTTAACCGTGTTTAAAGCCTCTTTTAACGTAAAATATCGCCTGGAATAAAAAAAGTCAAATTATGATTTATCCTTATATGTACATGGCTAGTCATGGTCAGATGCTAAACTTTATTTAAAAATTTGTCATTCATAAAACAATATCTAACTTTTCATTTGATATTAATATGACTACAGCTTCTGATTTTCATTAACGTAGTTACCGCTCTTTTGTATATTCATTCTAAGTACTGATTCCAAGTAAGCCTCGAGTCTAATATTATCTTAAGATATTTACTTTACTCACCAGATTTAGTTTCGTATCATTTAGGCTTAGAGGACCAAATTTCGTTAAATTCCCCCCTGCACGATTTTGGACTTCTGGCATCTTATATTAAGCCCCACATTTGAAGAGCATTTAGTAGCTATACTCACTGTCTGTTGTATTATATCTCTGAGTGCGTCCTTTGCTGTGAGCTAAGATGACCAGATCATCTACATATGTAGCCCAGGACATGGTGTTGTCGTTGCTGTCTAGGTATTAGCCCATCCATGACAAGATTTCATACGAGGATTCCCCTACGAAAAGGCTCTGGATACGTGTGCTTACACTGTATCCCTCAGTAACGTTGTATTACACTGCTCTTCAGCATACAGTCTATCCATCTGCAATTTGTTTCCTGTGTTTCTATCCATGTGATCGCTTCATATGAGGAGTTGTCGAATTTTTGTCGAATGATTATGTTCGTTGAGCATAGTTATTTAATATTTATTTTAAAATAATGTAGAAACTGAAAATCCATGCAAAACATCTATACAAATAATAATACAAGTAATAATAACATAATATGGCGTTTTAGCCTGGAGATCCTGTAACTAGTGTCCATACCCAATAGCCCAGGGGGACCGACGGCTTTACGTGTTCTCCGAAATACGTTTACCGCTTTACGTGTCTTCCGAAACAAGGTGACGGCTCGTATAATTTTTAAAAATTAAAAATTTAGTCGTCGGTGCCGATAATTGAACTCCTGCGTTGTGGCTTGGTACTATATGGCCGCCACAGAATTGTTTCTAAATAAAAATTCTACCTAAAGAGTGAGAATGAGTGACCTTATAAGATTCAAAATTATTTCGCAATTATTATATTCACTAATGCTCATGACATTACTTTTTTCTATTAAATCACACTTTCTTATCTCTTGTTCATTTATTACAATTAACATTATCAACATATTGTGTTTATGGAGGTAAGAGTTAAGTAACGGATATATTTCATTAAAATTTATTTTGTTTTAAAATAATTGGGAATGATTCATACTGGATTCTGGAATTATTAATACATTAACTCATTACTTGGCTGTCCCATGCCTATGCAGCATCAACACATTTAACTAACTTCGCTTTACTGTCTCTATCTCTTACAGCAACACTCTCCGTCCACAGAGTCCTCTTCTTCCCCCAAAAAGTACACACCCACCTCCCCAAACGGAAATTCCGACATACCACCCCCGCTCCCGAAAAGAAATAACCCTAACATACGCCAAAGGGCCTCTACAGATCCTAACAAACGTTCTTTGCCATACATTAACGGCAAAGTGCCTTTGGACGTTAACTTCATCAATAACGAAATTAACGCTAACACGCCTAAGAGTCCCCAGAGGAAAACTAAACCACCAGTAGGTCCTTTGGTGCTCAGTTCTTCTGAAAAACCTCCTCCTTTGCCTCCCAGATCCTCGCATTCCGCTCCTGTTCCCTTGGAGGACGCGGTCAACTCGATAAATAAACAAATGTCGTATCCGTTAGTGGCTACATGTGCTACATTAGTTAATGATGTAAGTAACCTTGTGAGTTTCTTGTTTATATTTTTATTTATTTATATCGAGTTTCTTGTAATGGCGAATTGAGGAATCATTTTATTTATGTATGCACGGATTAATCTGCTCAACTGTCACACTGAATGGTACAGTGTAGAATGTACTAAAACGAATCCAGTTATATTTCTTAATATTGTCCTGAAGCAATTTTCGTGTTGCATTTTAATATTATTTAATATTTATATTTGGAACTATTAACAATTTGCTATGACAGTTCGATTTCCATTTCAGAAAAATTAATGGAAGATCAATTTCCACTTCAGAAATTCAGAATATTATATAAATTAGAATATATCAGAATATATAAATTAGTCGACACGTTCATATTAGTACAGTTACAAATATTTCACGATAAAAAAATCTGCTAAAAAAAACTTTTTTTCTATTTTTTTTGTAGGAACATAAAAGAACAAAACTAGATAAAAAACAAACAAAACTGGGAGAACGAATTATAAATTATTTTTTACAATGTATTTAAAACATTAGTTAAAGCCTATTTTTGAATGAATAAACGCGACATTTGATATCAATATCGATCGTGGACATAGTACCACATACCAAAGCACAAAGCTTGTTATCTATTATGCTATTAGTTAAATCATAAGAATAATAATTGTCGTTCTAAAATGTTTAACGATATTCAATTTCGAAATACAAATAAATCACTACATAAAATATAAGTCAATCACTAGCTCCATTGACATTTAATTTTAACAATAAACTAAATACAGTGCGTTTCAGATAAAAGTATCAACCTTAATACCTCTTGAAATTCTAATTTTTAGGAAAAACACAAAAACACGTCAATTAATATTTGAAGGCATTTGAACATTATATTATATTTAAGGTTGCTGGGAAATGCACCCTCTCACTATCATCCCTTTATTTTTTTAGAATTACTTCCCCTTTTTTTATTTTATATTTGGATTCTCCTTTTTGTACTGATTTCAAAAATATATAATACATTTGGGTTGAAGTGATTAGTTTATCAGATAGACAATTTTTCTTTTTCTCTATATAGATAGTATCTCTCTCACCTTAATTGACTGTAACAAAATAGTTGTAGCATAATTTTTGAATCTTGGACCTTAAATGCAACATCAATGAAAAAACTGGAATCATTCGAGCTGTGGGTGTATAGAAGAATTCTGAAACTATCGTGGACAGAACACGTCACAAACAAAGAGGTTCTGAGAAGAATAAATCAAGAAATGGAAATTTTAAATACAATTGAAACAAGAAAATTAGAATATCTCGGACATATTACAAGTGGAGAGAAATACACCTTGCTCCAACTGATTATGCAGGGAAAGATCCAAGGAAAGAGAAGCATAGGGAGGCGTAGAATGTAATGACCGCGCAAACTGAGAGAGTGGTACGGATGTACATCAAATGTACCATATTTTTAATTGTACCATATCCACGTGTTCGGAAAAAAACCAAAATTGAAATCAGTGTATAAATGGGGTATAATTCAAGTAGTTCAATTAAACCCCCAGTCAATGGGAGAACTATACTATATTATTATAGACAGGTTTAAGTGTGAGATCTGAATTATGCAATCTAGTTAAAATATTGTATGTCATATTTCATCAGTTGAATTCCTATAGTAGTGTCAGTTGGATCTTTGGTCAATGCTTAGTTACATAGAATTTTGAAATGGGCAGATCACATTTCCATGATTATGACTGTCCATCTAAGCTGTCATATGTCACATGTCACCTTGACATTTCCGTTAATACCGGGAGCCATTATCTCTCCTGTTGCCGACCAGAATGTAGCTTCGACTATTTTTTAAATAATTTTAAACTTTTTGGCCTTGTTTAGTGCAGTGTTATGTACAACTTTCATTTTATTTAATTTTATGCTTATGGCATTCTGCGATTGTTGGATAGCCCAAAATTGACGAAGTAAGTCTAAAACGTTAATCACAAAAAACTTTTATTATCCATTAACTTCGAGTTTTTTATCGAAGTTAAAAAAACTTTCTTCCTTTCTTCATTTAAAAAAACGCTAAAAAAAGCAAGATTTAATTAATAAAACTGTGTTCGATATCTGCCTTTCATTTTATAAAGTTTTAAAGAAATAGTTCCGGAGAAAGATTTTAGTTTAGTAAAGTTTACTTTACTGATGATTTAGAACTTAACAAAACGTCAATTTATATTTTTATAACATTGTGCTTTCAAACTAATTTTGTATTTTTAAGTTTAATTTTGCATAGTGTAAATCTCAAACAATTTTGCCACTTTATTACCTGTAAATACCAACATTTTTACCATTTAACAATTTTGTAGAAGTAATCGATTTTGACAAGAGCTATGACCTTGAAAATAACAGGTAAACTTGTGTACTGAATCGGCATGACTCATGGCTTCTATTAAAATCCATTACCTCTACAGTGCAGTATTGAGCACCTGATGATTTAGCTAAGTGAAGTGAGTTGAATAATTCTGAGTTTCAATTGTTGTTATACTTTTCTCGAATGTATCATTTACCAGCACAATAAAAGGGTTCCTTTTATAAAAATTCGCCAATTACCAAAAACTAGATCACCTAAAGTTGTTTTATTTTAGATTTGTTTTACCTCACGATAAGGTTTTTGCGGGTGTGCCACCACAATGCTATATTTTGCTTTGGCTTTTGTTGCATAGCTTAGTATTTGTATCAACAATATATGGGTATAGTTAGAATGTATAGATTTAAAGTTGTAGGTAGGTATTGTATATACGGTTGCGTACAAAAATATGTAGATCTAAATCAAATAGTACTGTGCATGTCGGTGATAGTACTATTAATGTCTTCGAAAGATTTCGATTGACTTGAATGAAACCTTGAGATAGTTTAGAAATTAGTCCAAAAAATCAAAATTTTATTGTGCCGATATGAACATTTGCTTTGACACTGCCCTAAAGGCAGAAAGCTGAATAAGAAAGGACTGTGGTAACATATAGAGAAAAATACAAAAATTATTATATTAACCAATTCCAACGTGGAGTTGGTTAATATAATACGTATGTATTCGGAAAAAGGACGCGACAAAAATGATATTAACATAGTGAGAAATCTATATAGGAACCAACAGGGTGTGGGTATCATTAGATGGAAATAGAACGGATGTGCAACAGATAAGTAGAGAAGTGAGACAGGGCTGTGTACTTTCACCATTACTATTTAATATATATATTCCGTAGAGTTATTTATGCAAGCACTTGAAAACTGTACAGAAGGGATCAAGATAAATGGCGAAAATATAAATAACATCCGTTATTCTGACGATATAGTCATTATCGCAGAAAGTGAGACAGACCTGCAGATGTTACTGAACACAACTTGTTATACTGGGGAACAGTTTGGTTTAATAATCATAAAGAAATCAAAAACCATGGTTATCAGTAAGAGGTTCAAAGTCATTACAAGGATCCAGATAAAAAATGAAGATATTGAGCAAATGGACAAAATGAAATACTTAGGAGTCTGGATTACGGAAGATCTGAATCCGAAATCACAAATTCGCGCAAGAATAGAGCAAGCACGAGCAGCCTTTTTGAAGATGAGGAAATTTCTGAGTAACCAAAGACTCAATCTGCAAATCCGATATCGGATGGTAAAATGTTATATTCATTCTATTCTTGTTTATGGTATCCCTGCCTGGACTGTTGATATTGACTTAATGAGAAAACTGGAAGGTTTTGAGATGTGGCTTTTTAGGAGAATTTTGAAGATACCATGGACCGATCATATTACAAACGAAATGGTGTTGCACAGAATGGGAAGAGGCAGAGAACTTTTGACCACCATTAAACGACGAAAGACAGCATTTTTGGGGCACATACTTAGAAATGATAAGTACGAGTTGTTGCACCTGATTATGAAGGGTAAAATCGAAGGAAAAAGGGGCCGACAAATATCCTGGCTGAAAAACATTCGCGACTGGACCGGGTTAAACACACAGACTCTCTTAAGAAAAGGAAAAGATAGAGACGAATTTACAATGGTTATAGTCAACCTTCATTAGTGGAGACGGCACTAGAAGAAGAAAGAATACAATAATTAAGTATTGTCTCCATTTAAAAATCGCTCGTTGAATCGCTCTACTGAGTTACATGTCAACCTTTAGGGAACGAAGCTTTTTTAGTCACGTCACTACAATATATTTGTTCCCTTAGAATATCTAAAAGGACAGACTGTTACTTGTATTATTGCAGCTTGTAAAGAAATGTGCGAAATAGGATAAACTAGTATGTCTTTAGACAAATGTTTAGAAAACAGACGAAAGCTTCCGATTACTTGAATCATCAACAGAGAATTATGTTATTTTTATAGGATCTAAACAACGTTGTGATTTCTGAGAAAACATAAATCAATAGAATGATTGATATAACTATTTCTAAGAAACAAAGTAAAAGACGTACGATAAAGAAACGATGTAATACATGATCATGTATTTTTGATTAGAAGCTAAATATAAGTAGAACCAAAAAAGCGACAACAGAAAAAAAAATAACATAGTGGAAAGACTTAAATACTTGCAAAGGACAACACTGTGCTACAGAACAGATGATGAAAAAATAAAATAACGCTGCAATTAATAAATAAAAAAAAAATAAAAGCATAATAAATGAGCTAAAAACAAGAGGCTAAAATTTCGGGCGGAAAGTGAATATTGGTCGTCTAAACTACCTAACAATTAGTTATTGGAACAGAACTAAAAAAAGACTGATCTTCTTTTATATACATAGAAACATATGAATACGTCTGGTACTAATATAAATTTCTAGCTTTAACATCAAAAGGTTATTTTAAAATATACTAAGTGACATAAATCCGAACACCCATTAACAATTATTATATTTTGTACAATAATTATACAGGGTAGAAAAATAAACAAACGATCAAAATTTTAATATGGTTGAAACAACTTACACTGCTAACTCAATTAATAGTGTGTTGATGCAATT